TTTCCTCTCTCTCTTCTCTTCTCCTTTCTTTCTCTCTCTCTCTCTCTCTCTCTCTCTCTTGCTCTTATTTTGCTCGTTTTCGCTCGAGGGGAGGGGGACTTTTTTGCTCTGCCGACATTGTTACAGTGTGCAATCACCGTCGAAAAAAAAAAAAAATTTTACAACTCTCAACTCTCGCATTCTCTCTCTTTCTCTCTCTTTCTCTCGCTTTCTCTCACTATTCGCGCTCCCTATATACTTCGAGTTCGATAATTTTTCGTCTAAAATTCCATTTTCGCCTTAACTATACACAATAATCATAATATATAATAATAATAATAATAATCACGACTCGAATACATCATCGATCACCTCCGAATATAGATACAATAATTTTTTCTTTTTCTTTCTTCTTTCTTTCTTCTTCTTCTTCTTCTTCTTCTTTTTTTTCATCATCATTCTCTTCAACTTCTTTCCTCTTTTCTCTCTCTCTTCTCTCTCTCTCTTGTTTCGTCGATCTCTATCGCTCTCTCTCTTCTCTCTCTCTCTCTCTCTCTTTTTCATTACACATCTCACAATAATGATCGTTTAGGTCGTCGTATATCTATACATATACATATACATATACATATACATATATATATATATAATTTATAAAATGAAAATAGGTACAATTTTGGACGCTTTTCTTCGTCGAAAAAACGCTCCGAAAATTTCATTTTCGCTTAATAATGCCCATCGGTTGCGATTCTAGTCCACTTGGTAGTAAAATTTTGTTTTAGTTTTCACTCTCTCATTCGTACCCTTGCATTCTCTCCCTCTCTCTCTCTCCCTCCCACGCTCTCTCTTGCTCATTCTCTCCTCACACGATTCGCTCGTTCCGAATGCATTCGTATTGCATCGAATATTCTCTCTCATCTCTCACACTACAGCAGCTTCAGATTATTTTTCTTTTTCTTTTTTTTCTCTCTCTTCACGCTCTTCGTTTTTTTCTTTTTTTTTTCTTTTTTTGTGTTCTCGTTTCAACTCGACACTCAAACCATTATTATTATTATATCCTTTCATCATCCATTCAAATTTCAGCGATAATCGCTCTCGCGATACATCAGCCTTTTTTTTTCGCCTACGATTTCGTGAAAAGACGTGAAATTTTAGGCTGGCCAATCGCGTGCTTCCGGAATCGACGAGCTTCCAACGGCGCTCGCAACCAGAACAAAATTTCATTTCGTGAAATATATAACGCGCTTAATTTTTCTCTACCTCTACGTCGTGTTACAATAAGTTAATATTTACAGTCGTTCGACTCGTGCGGCAAGTCAAGTTTTCTGCTCTTCCCAAGTAAGTAAGTAAAGTGTGTGTTCTCGACATCGACATCGAACGGCTATTTTTAATTTTCTGATTCGGCGGAACGCGATACACCAGCAGTTTCGCCCGTGAACGAAACAATCCCCCGGAACAAGAATAATCGGATAATTGAATAATTCTCTCGTTATCCATCCACGAGTTTTTTTTTCTTTTCATTCTTTATCGGTTAATTTTCGGCTCTTTCTCCGGCGTGGAGAAGAATTTTCCTTTTTTTTCTTTTTTTGTACGCCCGTACTGGAAATTGGAATTTCGATTATTCGCGAGTATAGTCGAGAGTACAGTCGGGGTGCGATGAATTTTTTTTCTTCTTTTTTTTTTTTTCTTTCCGAATAAATCG